ATACATTAACGTATATATATATATATATATATATATATATATATATATATATATATACTATATATATACTGTATATATATATAGGCCTATAATTATAATTTAATACTTACACTGAACAGAGTGTACCAGACAGTGAGTAGGTGTTTTCTACTTCAAGTGGCGCTATGCTGCCAATTAGCTTATGACATCAGCGCATGAGATTTTAAATGCACCCGAATTGCTCCCGAACAGCAGATGTTATACTCGGATCAGTCTGCGCTGTTGGGTGTTGAATATTTTTCAAAATATTTTTTAAATGCAGTTGCAGTCATTTATAAAGGTAATGACTGGTAAATCTTGCAATTCTCTCACTGTACATTGCTATTCTTGTTGTGGTAAAAGTTAATAGTTTTGCAGCACTTCAACAGTTATTTAAGATAATTTTATGATAGAAACACAGTAGCATCATAATGTTACTAGGCATGTCCAGACGTCAGACAAAACTTTGCTAACAGGTGCTTTATATATATATATATATATATGTACATACATACACTACACTCTTAAAAATAAAGGTGCTTCACGATGCCATAGAAGAACCTTTTTGTCTAAATGGTTCCATAAAGAACCTTTAACATCTGAAGAACCTTTCTGTTTCACAAAAGGTTCTATGTGGCGAAAGAAGGTTCTTCAGATTATAAAAAGGTAAGAAAAAGATGGTTCTTTAAAGAACCTTTGACTGAATGGTTCTTTGCGGAACCAAAAATGGTTCTTCTATGGCATCGCTTGACGAACCTTTTGAAGCACCTTTATTTTTAAGAGTGTACCATTCAAAAGTTTGGGATTACTTGGAAATGTACTGGTTTTCCAAAGGAAATTTTATTTATTTTCCTTTTCAAAAACATCACATTTTCACCAGATCTACATTGTCACACAGAGGCCCATTATCAGCAACCATCAGTCCGCTGTTGCAATCTCGTGTTATGTTTGCTAATCCAAGTTAATCATTTTAAATGGCTAATTGATGATTTGAAACCCTTTTTGAAATTATGCTAGCACAGCTGAAATCTCTTGTACTGATTAAGTAGAAATAAAGGTGGCCTTCTTTAGGGTAGTTTAGTATCTGGAGCATTAGGAATTGTAGATTTGTATATAGGCTCAAAATGGCCAGAAAGAAAGAACTTTCTTTGAAAACATGCCAGTCTATTGAAGTGCTTAGAAATGAAGGCTATTCAATGCGAGAAACTGTGAGGAAACTTAAAATATCTTACCATGCTGTGAACTACTCCCTTCATAGAACAGCGCAAACCTGTTCTAACCAGAGCAGAAAAATGAGTGGGAGGCCCCGCTGCACAACTGTGCAAGAGGACAAATACATGAGAGTGTGTAGTTTAAGTTAAAGATGCATCACAGGTCCTCAAATGACAACTTAATTAAATAGTACCCGCTAAAGACCAGTGTCAACATCAACAGTGAAGAGGCGACTCCGGGATGCTGGACTTTATGGCAGAATTGCAAAGAAAAAGCCATATCTTAGGCTGGCCAATAAAAAGAAAAGATTAAGATCAGCAAAAGAGCAGAGACACTGGACAATGGAAGACTGGAAAAATGTATTGTGGACTGATGAGCCCAAGTTTGAGGTTTTTGGATCAAACAGAAGAACATTTGTGAGACGCAGAACAAATGAAACTATGCTAGAACAGTGCTTAACATCACCAGTCAAGCATGGTGGAGGCAGTGTCATGGGGTGCTTTGGAGGTTGTAAAATGAGACATTTGTACAGAGTGGAAGGGACCTTGAAGAAGGAAAGCTATCTAACATTTTGTAACGGCATGCCATACCCTGTGGACAGCACTTGATCGGGGCCAGTTTCATCCTACAACAGGATAATAATGACCCAAAACACACCTCAAAACTATGCCAGCACTATTTAGAGAATAAGCAGTCAGCTGGAAATTTGACATTAATGGAGTGGCCAGCAGAGTCTCCGGATCTGAACCCTATCAAGCTGTTGTGGGAGCAGCTTGACTGTATGACATCCTCAAATAAAAAAAGATTACAACGAAGTACTCTACTCCAGGCCACTCCACAGTACAAGAGCTAGATAACATGCACAGTAGGGATGCACCGAAACCACTTTTTCCAGTACTCAACAGATACCGATACTTTTATTTTTGGTACTTGCCGATACCGAGTACCGATACCGATATTTTTATTGCATTTGTAAATTTTTTAAATATTGGGTACAGAAACCAAAAGAGTATGTATAATGTTAGTTGGTTAACTTTATTTATCAAATAGATACAGTCAAACCTAAATTTATTCACACACCTTCAACATTTCCCCCATTACCACAGTTTATTCGCTATAGTTTAGAAAATGGTAATAAAATATAACAAGAACTCAGAGTTAAACGGAGTCAGAACAAATTCAGCTTGATAATGTTAGATAACTTTGATAGAAATGGATTATGTATGTTATGGGTTACAATCAACCAAAAATTAGACAGTTGTTAGTATGACAGTATTTACACAACTATGAATACTTTGTCGG